CGCTATCCCTTCCCCTCCCCCTTTCCCCCCCCCGAAAGGTGACGTGTGGGGCTCCAGCCAAACAGTAATCACTCGACTCACAGCTCCCAGCACTACTGTAAGTACATGCCTGCTCATATTCTAGTGGACTTATTGGTTGAAAGCTTCACTTTTGACCAATAATAAACTTAGTCCTTTCAGTCTTGCTCTATGTTAAATGTCTTAATAATCACCACGTCTTTTAGGTATTGTACTTATCATGGAGAGTGGTTTCTTAAGCAGCGGGTAACCTGTCTCTCTTTCCAGCTTGGAATGACAGAATGGGTCACCTGCCAACCAACGAGTAGAACTGAAGAAGACGGACTAACGTCCTGAGACATCCCATGTTTTATCTACAGTGGACCCCCGCATAGCGACCTTAATCCGTGCAAGAGGGCTGGCTGTTATGCGAAATGTTCGCTATGTGAATGAATTTTCCACATAAGAAATAATGGAAATCAAATTAATCCGTGCAAGACACCCAAAAGTTTGAAAAAAAAAATTTTACCACATGAAATATACATTTTCCTACACACAAAGAGAAGGATACATGCACAATAGTAGAGTAGTACATGCACAATATATATTGTGCATGTACTACTCTACTAAATGAAGAATAAATGACACTTACCTTTATTGAAGATGCAGCAATGACTGATGAGACACTGTGTCCTGGAGTGCCTTTTCCTCCTGAGTACTGTAGGTCCTGTTGGTATTTTCTTCCAGAACAGCCTTATCACACTGTGTATGTCACTACGATTCTTAAATCTCTCAAACCAACCTTTGCTGGCTCTAAATTCACCAATATGAGCACTAGTTCCAGGCATTTTCCCTGTTCACCTGGGTGTTAGTCAACTGGTGTGGTTGCATCCTGGAGACAAGATTAAGGACCCCAATGGAAATAAGTTAGACAGTCTTCGATGACACTGACTTTTTTGGGCTATCCTGGGTGGCAAATCCTCTGGGGTTAATTGTTTCTTGGTATTCTCAATAAGCCACACCAACAACGGTGCTACAGCAGCAGCAGCAGCAGCTGACGATGTTACAGCAGCAGCAGACGATGCTACAGCAGCAGCAGCAGCAGACGATGCTACAGCAGCAACAGACGATGCTACAGCAGCAGCAGACGATGCTACAGCAGCAACTGACGATGTTACAGCAGCAGCAGACGATGCTACAGCAGCAGCAGCAGCAGACGATGCTACAGCAGCAGCAGCAGCTGACGGTGGTACAGCAGCAACAGACGATGCTACAGCAGCAACAGACGATGCTACAGCAGCAGCAGACGATGCTACAGCAGCAGCAGATGATGCTACAGCAGCAGCAGACGGTACTACAGCAGCAGGAGCAGCTGACGGTGGTACAGCAGCAGCAGCTGACAGTGCAGCAGCAGCTGACAGTGATACAGCAGCAGCAGCAGCTGTACCACAATAGTAGCGATGGTTGATTGGGGTTTATTATACAACCTGGCCAGCTCGGAGACACGCACTCCACTTTCATACTTATCAATGATCTTTTTCTTCATCTCCATAGTAATTCTCACCCTTATTGCTGTAGGGTTGGCACTAGAAGCTTTCTTGGGGCCCATGGTCACTTATTTTCCAGAAAAAAATCACCAAAAACACTGTAATAATACAAAATGTTCCGATTGTATGCTTGGATGTTACCGCGGAGGCTGGCTGGTAAACAATGCCACCCGTGGAACATGTGAGCGTGGCTCAGGCCGCACATTGGACGCGTCTCGGACGAAGGCCGCTGAGCGGGTTTTTGGGCGCTATGCGGGGCAAAATTTTAGCGATCAAAGCGTCCGCTATGCGGATTGTCCGCTATGCAAGGCGTCCGTTATGCGGGGGTCCACTGTACTTGCCTGTGCACATGTATGAAGAATCAGGACGTAACCTCTCATCATTGCAGTGGTAAAGAACCTGCTTTCCTGTCATCTGGATAGATTATTTTACGGCTATAGACTCTGTGAAGAACGAGCCGGTGGGTTGTCACCAACACCTGCAACCCCCCACCCCACATCCTCAGCAACGGCTACGATTTCAACAACACACAGTGTCACCAACACCAGACACCCAAGTTTTATATATAGTAGCGTTGAATTCAGATATCATTTATATTTTTCATTTTTCATTTTCTTTAATGTAGGATCAATATTTCATATTTAAGTGTTTTATATTTTATATTTTCTAAATAATAAAGTGTTTATGTTTGTCAGTTTTTGTTCTTTTTCTATGCATTAATTTTCCTGAGGAGGAGCCAGCCTTAGTAATACTGACTGAAGTTGTGCCATCTTCCATTTTACATGAGGGAGATTAAAATCTCCAAGGAGTAAAATATTTGGTGTAGGACTTTCTAGCCAATCCAGATAGCTATCTATCTTACTTAACTGATCTGTGAATTCCTCAGCAGTTGCCGATGGTAGTTTGTATACTAGGATAATTACCAAATTCCTATTTTCAACTTTAATGTCTAGAATTTCTACTATCTCATTCGTAGAATTCAGCACTTCTGTGCAACAGAAAGTATCCTTTACATAGATTCCTACTCCTCCCTGTAGCCTATTGATTCTATCACATCTATACATGTTGTAGTTTTCTATCTTTATCTCTCAATCCAAAACATCCCTTGTATGTGTTTCTGTAAATGCTCCGAATATGGCATTTGCTTCTGTCAGGAGCCCACTGACATAACTAACTTTGTCATTTTTATTTGATTTCAAACCCTGTATATTTGCAAATATGAAGCAGGAATTACCAAGTGAGATGTTTTGTCTCGCTTTGTGTTTCATTAGTACCACTGGTGGTGTATTACCTGGTATGTCCCCTGGTGTGCACTCCCCTGGTTTCTCCAGTACTGGCTTCGCGTTTGTTTGCTTATTCGGCCTTGACGGGCTGATGCCTGGTTTGGTATGCTCCATTTTACTGCCCACCTGTCCTCTCTGTACCATTCCCCCTGTTTGTCTCTTCCTTTGTTTTGATCTTTTCTCTTTTTGTCTAAAAAAGAATGCTGTTCAATTTCCCTTTCTCTGCTAACTCTGTAGTGCCGCATTCCTTTTACATGATGGTCTGGGCAGCTCAAGTCATAACATTCTCTGGACCGCGTTGAAGCTTTACACATTACTGGATGGAGGTACCTGCACTCTTTGTTGAAACGACACTTTTCCTTCCTCAACATGTTCGCATTTTTTTCTGATGTGTTTATTCCAACAATCTCCACCATATAGGCACATACCTTTAACATAGTAACTGCAAATGTTCTGACTACCTATATTTAGTGATTCTGTGTCGTTCCTAAGTTTTGCCACCTGATCTGAGTTCCCTTGTTCACTTTCTTCCAGGCTAATTTCTTCCCTTTGCTCGTTTTCGTTTGTTCCTGCTCTAGTTTTCTCATCCTCCCTTCCCCTTTCCGCTATGTTATGTATCCCTGTTTCCTTTTCCAACTTGCTCTGTATGACGTTTTCTACTCTTGCTCTTACTTTCACTCCTTGATTTTCACCTCAATTTGCATTTTCCTCCTTGTTCCTTTTCCCCTTTTTTCCACTCTTTGATGGGAAAAGAAAACCTGTGACCTTGTAATTGGTTGATTTTTATGGTGATTTTTATGGTTTCTTAGTACCAATTGATAGAATGGAAAATGTAATAGTAGTGAAATTGAGATTTTTATGGTGATTTTTATTGTTTTATTGGCCATTTCTTGGTACCAACTGATAGATTGGAAAATGTAAGTCGTGAAATTGAGATGATTTTGGTCAGATCAGAAGTAGCTCAAAACTGAGCTCAAGTGGTGGAAATATCTGACTTTTGGCAATTTACCTGAGGAGGGGTAGGGCCTTCCTAGCCCCCAGTCTGTTTTATGAGATTTTACTAGGCCTGTTTCAATCACTGGGATGGTCTAAACCATGATCAATTATTCCTGGATATATGTAAAGTAAAAGGACACAAGTGCAACTAATGTGACACTTTACTGTGGCAACGTTTCGCTCTCCAGAAGCTTTGTCAAAGCTCCTGGAGAGTGAAACGTTGCCACAATAAAGTGTCACATTAGTTGCACTTGTGTCCTTTTACTTTACATATTGTCGGTAATTCTACCAACATTATTATATTCCTGGATATAGTTTATTATCTAAATGTTAAAATTTCAATTTTTTTTTTTTTTTTTGTGTGTGTGTGTGTGATGGATTCAAATTGGAGGGCACGTGATGAATGAACAGAGGGAAGGTTGCTTTAGTGGCTGGAGCCTACAGTGTTTATATTGGACTCTGGTTTTTAAACTGTAATTATTTTAATTGTATACCTGACTTATATGTACTGACTTATGTAATTTGGCAGTTTCTTGTTCTCAATCAACAGAGTGGAAGGCATACTAGAAAAATCGTTAGGATTTGGGTCAAACTGAGTGCTAGAATTGGCTTAAAATCACCGGGCCGGTGGCCTGGTGGCTAAAGCTCCCACTTCACACACGGAGGGCCCGGGTTTGATTCCCGGTGGGTGAAAACATTTCGACACGTTTCCTTACAACTGTTGTCCTGTTCACCTAGCAGCAAATAGGTACCTGGGTGTTAGTCGACTGGTGGGGATCGCATCCTGGGGGACAAGATTAAGGACCCCAATGGAAATAAGTTAGACAGCCCTCGATGACGCACTGACTTTCTTGGGTTATCCTGGGTGGCTAACCCTCCGGGGTTAAAAATCCGAACGAAATCTCTTATCTCTTACAGCATTATAGTTTATACAGTATTAACATCTGATTACTAACCAAATCTTCCTCATTTAAAGGCAAAAAAAAAAAATGTAAATTTGCATCAAAATTTTTTTTTAATGTAGCCTGAGTGACATGTTACTGACAATCATAGAATTTTTGTAAGTTGTAATTAAGAATGAAGAAATGCTGTAACTGATTATCTACAAATACAGAAAATGAAAACTTAGATATAACAAATTACAGTGTATAAGCATTTTTATTTCCCCCCCCCTTACCTGGAGAACTATCATTACTTGAGTGAAGACACGTGGCACTTCCTCACTTAAAACCCAGTCCAGCTCCTGCTGCTATAGAAAAGAAGCATGAATGAACATTATTATCAGTATACATGTTCAGTATTCATGGAATTCACTATACCAATATGAGTTACTCAGTGTTGCATGGCAAGGGTGAGAGAGATAGTAAAGGGAGAGGTAAAGGTGGGGAGGGAGGGAGAGGCATAAAATTAACAAACGATAAAATCAATAAGCATAAACAATAAACACCACTCTGAAACGTTGTCAGTCCCTCGGCCTGGAGAAGTTCAGCTCCCGGCTTTCTGGTGTTTTCACGGTCGCTCTTACGTGCTAGAACTTTAATTTGTGTCATCAATCCTATACGATACATCCCCCTAGCGCCTGGAACCAATCTTGGGCGGAAAACATTATATACTGAGTCAAAAAAGGAGAATTAGTGTGCATTACCTAGCAGAGTTTACTGCCAGAGGGGAATCATAGGCCTGTTTCCCGTGTGAAAAAAATAATAATAATTGAACGTTGTGTCAGAGGAAAGAAAGTCTCCCTGAAAGCATTGAGTATACATAGTGTATAGTGTATACTACAGTGGCTCCCTAGTATATTGATGATAAAGGCTAAAGTGTCATTTGAAAACAGGTGAATTTGTAAATGAAGTGATAAGCCTATAGAGGCAGGTGCCAGAAGTCGCCAGAAACTTACCACAGGTCAGCTGTTTTTAATAATCTTCCTGGCCTGCTAGTGTACTCGCATATAATCTAGTGATACCAGTGAATAGCAGAATACAGTGTTGTAGTAGCAACTAACCAGTATTATAATGGTACTTAGTGGAGTGGAGTGACTTTCATTAGTTTCATTTTCTTGAAATACGAGACGTTACTGTGAATTTCATATAACCTGTAGTTACCAGCGGTCGCAATATACACAACGAGAAGCAATTATTACTACAGAAAAAGCGTCCTTCCCCCAAAATTTGCACCAGTCAACTATAGTGATAATATAGCATTTATTGTGGTGGAGACGGAAAAACAAAAATAGAAAAGCCAGATACAGCGATTGATAAACAAAGAGGTCGACTGTACGTCATTGTAGGAGCTGCCAGATATCACCGCTCTTCAACACGCAAGTTATACTTTTGTATCAGTCAAATCACATATTACTCGGGTAGATAATTTCCAGTAGATCCTTCATGTGTTAGCTCAAATCACCGACCAGTATGTTTTAAATAAGTGACCCACTGATCAGAGCAGATCGACTGGTCCGAACCCTTGACTGGTCCGAACCCTTGACTGGTCCGAACCCGGGACTGGTTTCAAACAGTTTCGTTGGACAATAAAGCAGACTGTAAACGGATGGGTTTGTAGGCGCCCTTATAAACACAAACATTAAAAAATTCAGGAACGTGACGGTAACTGTCCAATATACAAAAAGATTTTGAAAGAAATACAAATGTAGAGCTTTTTTAAAGGTTATTAATATAATTTTCAAATTTGTAAGACTTGCGTAAATCAACCTTTAAAATCATTATAAAGCTGGTGTATCTGTGGTCAGTCAAAAAAAACGGGCTACACATGGTTTAAATTTGTCATTTTTGTGGAAATTGGGTCACGCTCCTTTGCAGATATCCCAGACTAGCTAAAAGCAGTATTAAAACAGGAAGGTTTTTGGGGTTCCCCAAAGAGGAAAATCTGTGGACAAAATCACAAGGGTTTAAAAGAGGATAACATCAAAGCGCTTTCTAGAAAACCTAAAAACTTTCTAAAACAAAGGGGGAAACAAAAAAAAGTCCGGGCTGAAGGGTACTGCCCTTGATACGGCCATGTAGTCAAAAACTGTAAGGGGGGTGTGCCCTGGTAGTCAGTAATTAGGGCTGTAGTGTTTCCCGGGAGACGAAATGGTGAAGCGGAGGTGCTGTCCGGGGGGGCCCAAATGGTGAAGTGGGATACTGTCTGGGAGACAGTAAGGGGGCGGGAGGTGTTTCCCTGGGAGACAGAAATGGTAAAGCTGGAGTACGTCCGGGTAACAGTAAGGGTTTGAAGCTGGAGATTTTGTCCGGTATGGGGAAATTATAGCGGAAGGGAATACATAAAAATGCCCTCTAGAGGACAGGGCCATAGAGGGAAAAAAGTGTAGTCAAAAAAAGAAAAACCAATATTGCAAACCAAAAATACCGCGGGAAATAGAACAAGGGACCCCCAAAGAATAGTGAGGATAAATTCCAAAAACAATGGGGGGTTCCATTTTGGTGTAAGGGGGTGGAAAAAGAAGGGAAAACACCCAAAAAACGGGGAATACAGTCCAAAAACCCAAAGGCAAACGGGAAACCAAGCCTGTGCACATACTATGCACTTGATTGCGGGCAGGGGAAATCTGGAAAAACAGGGGACATGCACTAAAACCACCCTGAAAATGTCATGCCCAATACAACAGGAAAATGCAAACCCCCTTCCTGAAACTTTTTCCCCCCTGAAATGTGTCCTCTTCAGAAAGGGAAACTGTGCTATAAATTTTAAATTGCCGGCCCATTAAAGGGGACAAAAAGATACAAAACACGGCCATGGGAAAACCTGGGTGCCACCCCACTCAAGGGGGAGGGGTTTTTTAGTGCCAGGAAGGAAAAAAAAAACGGGCAGGAATGGCAGAAACGTCACCAAATCCAGTCTTCCGGGAGGGGAAACCACGTGAGGGCCCCTCCACTCCAAACCAAAGATACGATACTAATGCCGGAAAAAAAACCCCCCCCCGTACCAACAATACCCCCAGTCGATAACATTCTTCTTTGAAAAATAACGGGGGTCTAAAGCCAGCAATAAACAAAAAATACCTTTCATCCGTGGACTGCTTGAGAGGCAAAGGCAAGTTCGGGTTTAAAGGCCCCACAAAAGGATCACTTGGACAACAAAATATGGACCCGGGTTTAAACCTAAAGTGTGACAGATGAACAGGAAAAAGGGGGGGGTTTGGCCTGTACATTGCAGAGTATGTTTGCCAGAACTGTTAATGCCTCAATGACGTGTGGAAGTTTTGCAAAAAGGTCGAAAACCCAAAAATAGTCATTGTGGAGTCTACAAGCCCCCCGGATGCACCCAGAATTCCGGGAACAGTGTTAAAAATTTGACCATGTCGGGAAAAATTTTCCCCAGCCCTGCACCAACATCTTGCTCCGGGGGGATTTAAAATTTTAAGCACCTAAAATGGAGGATATAGCAAAAAATATTTTTGCAGTAAAACACCAGGAGGCGCTTGATAAAAAAACCCACTCACACGAGTTTTAAAATCTTGCCAAAATTAAATTTAAACCAGCAAAAAAATAGAGCCTATGAGGGGAAAACCCTAACCTCTCTTCACTAACAATGATGTCTGATAAAAAATGTCCCAATCAAAAACATATACTCGATCACACATTTTTGGGTTAGAATGTTGCTGGACCCCAGACCGAAAAATGGACTAGTGAGGGAGCATTCACCAAAATCAACTTCAATAACAAAAAAAAAAAAGTGGGCCCCAAGTAAACCAATCCTAACCGATATAAGCTGGGAAAAATATATAAGAAAACACAGACCCAAATTTTTGCCTAGAACAGATAACTCGGTGGCACCGATGTTCACAAGGTTTATTCCTCAAAAGAAAAGGAGGAGTAGTTTGAAAAATAGAAAGAAAAAGGCGCTCCCTTTACGGGCGAGGAAAAAAATAACAGAGCGGCTAAAAGAGGTCAATATTTCAGAAATCCAGGGAACACTGGTCGAGAAATAGCAAAAGCAAAAAATTAGCAAAGAATCCTTAGGAGTCAGGAATCGCGGGAAGAAAAAAAAAGCCAAAATAAAATCGAAAGAAACCCAAAGTATTCTTTCCTATGCAAACAAAATCGGAACAACGCCGTTTGGGCCCCTATTTAAAACAAGAGGGTCCTCACAGATGACGCAAGGAATGAGTGGTACTCAAGTCCCATTGACTCATTTTTAGCAAGCCGCAAAAAGGGCTGAGAGTCGAAGTCAAAATGAATTTTTTAGGAGAGCCACAAATTTGATTAACACAACCTATCCCAGTTATCCCACCCAAATGACTTCAACGCGTAAAGGGGCTGCCCAGCACTCTGCCCCCCGGGCCCAAATCATGAAATCTGTGTTCATCAAAAAATGAAGAAGCCCCTATCACGGCCTTTCCTCCTATGGGGGGGCAGGGGCACGGGGGGCGTCCCTCAGTTTCTAAAACAACAGAATAGCCCCCCCCCACAAAGGGGGCGTAAAACAACGCAAAGAATACAGACCAATGCATAAAATCCCCTATCTAAAAATCTTTGAAAGGGTCCTAAAAGCAAGATCCCACCCTCTGAAACATCAGTTAACAACCCCGGGAACATGGGGGTTTTGAAAGGTCGCTCTTCTGTCTCAAAATACTGGATCACTACGACAAGGTCCTAAAAGCACTAGAAGACAAAAAAAATGCAGATTAATTATACAGACTTTTCAAAAGCCTTTGAAGTGTGACCATGGGTATAGCGCCAAAAAGCGCGCTAAAAGGAATAAAAGGGAAAAAATTTGGGCATGGATCTATTAAATTTTTCACTAAAACAAACCAGGAGAGTTTCGTAACAGATAAAAATCCGAGGAAAACGGGGGCCGTTCCACAAGGCACGTACTAGCTCCTCTTGTTCTCATTCCCCATCCCCAATGAAAGGTTGCGCACAGCCCGTGCTTCCCTTTTCAGATGACCCGAATCTCATGACAGTGTTTCCATTGCAGAACTGCAAGGGGTCCGGGGACTCACCAATCTTTCAGGGGGGGCAGAAAACAAAATGAAGTTCAACGATGAGAAATTTCAATTATCGATATGGAAACATAGGAAATTAAACTTCACAAATCAAAACAAATTTGGCCACAAAAAAGAGCGAAACCAAAATCAAAGCCCGGGGGTGATTATGTCGGAGGGTCTCACTTCAAGGGCCATAAATTGATCAACGCTCGCTAGAAAAATGAGGGGTGGAAATGGAACCTTCAAAAAAGGAGGCCAACCCATTGACACTTTCAGGTCACTTGTTCTTTCTAGGTGGAAAAGCGCACTCTAACAGCACCTTTCAAGGCAGGT